AATCATATAATACCTCCATTGGTTCTTCCTTTTCTTCACTTATTTCTTCGATGATTCTTTTCCTTAATTGGTTCAAATGTCTTTTGTGCGTCCATTTTTGACTTGGAGATAGGCATCCGATAAATCCAATTTAGCGAATATTTTTCCTCCACTTAAATTTGCAAAAATGTCTTCTGGTGAAAGGCAAAGGATATGTGTGGTCTTTTAAGCAATCATTTAGACCCGTAGAAAAATCGGCACACATCCGAATTTTATTTTTTTTAACATATACAACAGGGCAGGCCCACTCTGAAAATTCAATGCGTGAAATAACTCCTAAATTTTCAAGCCGTTCCAATTCCTTGTCAGTCTGTTCCAAAACATCAAATGGCACCTTTCTTTTTCGCTTGAAAATAGGTTTTACATTTTCCTTCACTTCAAATTTTGCCTTCGCCTTTTTGCAACATCAAAGACCTTCTGAAAATACTTGTGGAAATTTTATTTTCAGATCTTTCAAAAAAATTTTCTGTAACCCGATTTTTACACCGAGAAGAAACATTAACTCTATTACAAAAAGAATTAATAGGGAGTTCCCATAAATTAAACAGTATAATCCAATCTGTTCCAAACAAATTTGAAGCATTTTGTAGCACATACACTTTAGTGTCTTACCAACAAATGAAATATTACAAGAAAATTCACCTTGAAAATGCAATTTTCTTCCAGAAATCCCGCGAGCAACTTTTTCAGTCTTTTTAAGCAAAGGTCTGCCTATTTTAATCCATGTTGTTGTATTAATGGAAATATCACTTCCAGTATCTAGCTGTAGTTTAACATTTTTTCCATTAATTTTTACTTGTACGAATTTTCTTTTCTGCCCCTCCTCAATCTCTAACGTGACAACACAATATTCACAATATCTTTTTTCGACTTTTTTTTTTTTTGCTTTTACAATGAGTACTTATATGGCCTTTATTGCCACACGTATAGCAATTTTTGTCGCGAAAAAAAACATTCACTTTTAAAATGACTACCACCGCATCCAAAGCACGTTGGTTTTTTAACGTTTTTATTAACTCTTCCCTTTTTTGGTCGAATAGCATGGACATGGGATACGTCTTTTTCTTCAATTTACTTATTGTCATGTTTTAAATTTTCAATTCTTTGACACTCTTCCGTAACCTTCTGCAAAATAATCTCGGAATTTTTTTTCGAGTTTTGCCAATATTCGGGACCTTATGTCCTTATCTTTGCTAAAAGTCAAGCCTTGAACGAATATCAAACATTTAAATCGATCAATTGAAAGATCATGTAACATAAAACGTTCACACATTCTGTTAACATTTCAAGCATACGTAACAATATCCTCATCGTCACCCTTTATCATAATCAAACACGAGAAACGAGTATGAAACAAACTAACTCGCTCGCCAAAAATACTAGATAAAGTATTAACAGTTTCTTCGAAAGAAATGTCACTAGTTTTTCTTGGAAGGACAAAATTCGTATACTTATTATTTTCATCTGTACCCAACTTTTGTAACAGTAAACTCACTTTTTGTTCATCAGTCCAACCTTCACATTTTTTTTCAAATATTGTTTCAAATCTTCTGAAATACGCAGGAAATGTTATACCCTCCTCTGGGTTAAATTTGAACTCGGTAATAGAATTAGCAATACCTTCGGCCGTGAATGACGAATTTACTGGATTCTTTAGTAACATTGCTTCAAATAGAGCCTTTGTGTCATTTCGCTGCTGAACTTGTAAATCCAATAGTTGTTCCCGAAACAATTTTTGTTGCTCTTGTTGCAATCTTTGTTGCTCTTGTTGCTGAATTTGGTTTTGCACTAGAGTTTTCGTTAATGCAATCTAATCTTCCATTAAGCGTAATAGATTACACAAAAAACTTTTCGAAAACAGTCAAAAAGGAGAAAAACACGTATATATCCAACAATAAGCACAAGTCTTACTTCTTTTTGGCACGTTGAAATCCTATTTCTTCTTGAAGAACAAAGTTCGACGTATTGTTTTTTTCTTTCTTTCAGTGCGAAAAAAAAAAAAAATTATATAGTCCACCTAGAGTTGAAAAAATTCTCCACTCAGCGTGATGAATGAATCTCTCGTCGCCACTGTTATGATGTTAATTTTGGGTTAATAAAGACAAACGCCAAATAACATGTAACAATAAAATGGGGTTTATTCGGTTGGTACAGATATCGCCTGAGTAGTCTATAACTAACTCAGCTCAGAACTTCCTCAACACTGTCTTTTGACATGCCACTATTCAACGTCCTTGTTTGTAGACGAGTTCATCTTCAAGAGGGGTGGTAGGTTCCTACACAACATATAGTGAAAAGGTAATTGAAGTGTTTGAACAGTTTAGTAAACAAAAAAACAAAAAAAAAACGAAGACAGTTTAATTTAATGAGATAAAAAGATTAAAGTTACTTTTGAAGGAATTTAGACAAACGATGGACATTAAATAAATTTATGTTTTGATTTAATAAATGTGTTTTGTCTCTCATGAAAATAATCATTTTATATTTTGCAACTGGGATCAAAATTCTCGATATATTGTCCAAATTTCATATTTTATTCTATTTTTGGTTAAATATTTCCACCGCCTCAGTCATTATCAAGTATTTCGTCTTGTCGTGATTGTAGGTATGATTAAACTGGTCCCACCTAGGCTTTTTTTATTTATTTTTTTTTAACATGCTAAATTTAAATTAGTACAAAGTTAAATCACATATAAAAAGTTACATGGTGATTGACTGCAGTGAATATTTCGAATACATATATACAGCATTATTATTATTATTATTATTATTATTATTATTATCATCGCATATGTAATGCTTCATAAAGTCATTAAGATGGAATCTCGTGAAAGAAAATATATCTTATTTAATATGAGTTTATTTTCTTTTGTGATATAATCGCATTAATATACCTATTAGTGTTACATTTGGTCTGCTGCTTCTGTTTTGTATTTAGAGATTATTTTTAAAATCCAAAGTAGTATTTGCAATGCTATTAGTCCTCACTTGGCTTCAGTCAGTTCCCACCATTGTAGTGTAAATTCCCTGTGCATTTTCTATTAATATTTTAATTGCAATTATTCTGATGAGCTTTCCAATTTGGGACCTCTGCTGTAAATTTTAAGCGCAATACTAGTGTTAAATAATATTTTAAGACTTATATTTTAGTGGCGGTGTATTTTGGCTGAATTTTAAGCTCAGATGATTGACAAAATAGGGATGTCGATTTTGATTGGCAGAGCTGAAGGTGGGAAAGGAAGGGAGATAGAAAGTGATTTCAGGGAGTGAGGTTTTTACTTGTCATACACAGTAGACTTGTTATTTTCGTATATGGAATTGCTCCTCAATGGGCTTGATAGAGCGACCCAACTGGCTAATTAAAAATATACACGTCGACATGTTAAATAAAATAGATAAACTTAAAATCACTTTTGTTGAAATTCTCATTTTACCTCCGAGCAAATCAACTAGCGCTCTCCGTGTCGAGAGAAGAAGGAAAAGTGAGAGAAGATGCAACACTAGGTTGGCAAGGTCTTATTTTACAGTTGAAATGGCTAAAGATAACCGTAAGTCATATGCTAACAGTTTTTTCTCGACTTCTTACTTGTGGATCTCTTCCGGCTTGTTACATCCCAGTCAACTTTGATCTTCAAAAAAACTAAATGCAATGTCAATCATTATCTGCTGCCTTAATCTTATCTTTTAATCCTGTTATTTTATTGTTCTCTTAACGTTTTGTTTTTCTCATTCTTTCACATTTAGTAACATCTGTCATCTTAGTGGCATAAGTGTCTTGATTAGGGTGAAGTGATTTAGCAGAAAAAGTATATATTTCTCAATCTGTCAATATATCAACGGATATAGCAGAGAACTAATATGGCTAATTTATAATATCAAATGAGGAAAGGATGGTTCAAATGGGTTAGTTACATCGCTAGTAGATGCTGAAGGACTGACATGCTTCCAATTATTTCGGACCGATGATAGGTTTCGAGCTGGAGTTACTTGAAAGCCAGTTTCAAAGAAGGGGCCATACATGATGGTGCTGGTCCGATCATAGTACCTTTGCCAAAGTTATTGTTCCTCCGTCACAGCACCCATTCATAAACTACATGTACTCTAGCGATGATACAAAATTCCACATCGTGTGATCTCGGCTATGCTCTTAAAAACGTGGATTTTGAAAACTATAGTGAAACTGTGTGGTACCCAGGGTCGCCCAACAGAGAGTTATAGGACGTATTGAAATTTATTTTATATTCCTCCGCCTACAAATATCGCGTATGTTTGGCCAGGTATCGAAACTGCATCTAGTGTGTAACTTTTCCGAAGTTTTTCGATTGTGTGTGTATGTTAATTGCTTTCGAAATACTGTGTTTTTCCTGAAAAGCGTTCTCATAAATAATGGGATTATATTTTTTCCATATAGGTTAATCAATATCGAAATTTTGTAGTAATCTTTTATGAAGCAACATTTATATAAAGGTTTCATTAAAGACTTGATAAGGGGACGCTATTAAGCATTTGATTCAATCTTTCTTGCATTCGGAAAAAAAATATTCTTTTATGGGTAGAAACTGTCCAAATGTTCAAAATATTCGAGCGTTTACGACTATTCTGTCAGCTATTATTTTAGATGTTTCTTTTTTAACTGAATATATAGATGATATATATATATATATATATATATATATATATATATATATATATATATATATATATATATATATATATATATATATATATATATATATCTTTAGTCAATATTCAGTCTTTTAAAAAAATCCTTTATAATATCTAAAAGTCGGATATCTTTCAGTCGGATTTTTAAAAAATAAAGGGCCTGTTAGAATGCAAGAAAATTAAATAAAACTTAATCGGATATCTTGTCGGTTGACTTGAAACGGATTTTATGTAGCTTTATAGAAAGAATATAAAGGATAGATAGTTAGAAAGAATGCAAGAAAGATAAAAAAAACTTAATAGAAATGACCTTGTCGGTTGTGTTTCATGAAACTTATATATATGTAGATAGCTAGAAAGAAATGACAAGAAGATAGATAGATAGCTAGAAAGAAATGACAAGTTAGATAGATAGATAGATAGATAGAAATGACAAGAAGATAGATAGATAGATAGATAGAAATGACAAGAAGATAGATAGATAGATAGAAATGACAAGAAGATAGATAGATAGATAGAAATGACAAGAAGATAGATAGATAGATAGAAATGACAAGAAGATAGATAGAAAGAAATGACAAGAAGATAGATAGATAGATAGAAATGACAAGTAGATAGATAGATAGAAGAAATGACAGATTAGATAGATAGAGATAAAAGAAATGACAAGAAAAGATAGAAAGAATAGAAACAAGAAGAAGATAGATAGATAGAAATGACAAGAAGATAGAAAAAATGACAAGAAGATAGATAGAATAGAAATGAGAAGATAAGAATAGATAAAAAGATAGATAGATAGATACAAGAAAGATATAGATAGATAGAAATGAAATAGATAGAAAGAAATGAAAATAGATAGAAAGAAATAGATAGAAATGACAAAAGAAGAAATGACAAAAAAGATAGATAGAAAGAAATGACAAAAAGATAGATAGATAGAAATGACAAAAAGATAGATAGATAGAAATGACAAAAAGATAGATAGAAAGAAATGACAAAAAGATAGAAAGAAATGACAAAAAGATAGAAAGAAATGACAAAAAGATAGATAGAAATGACAAAAAGATAGATAGAAATGACAAGAAGATAAATGACAACAAAAGATAGATAGAAATGACAAGAAGATAGAAAGAAATGACAAGAAGATAGAAAGAAATGACAAGAAGATAGATAGAAATGACAAGAAGATAGATAGAAATGACAAGAAGATAGATAGATAGAAATGACAAGAAGATAGATAGATAGAAATGACAAGAAGATAGATAGAAATGACAAGAAGATAGAAAGAAATGACAAGAAGATAGAAAGAAATGACAAGAAGATAGATAGATAGAAATGACAAGAAGATAGAAAGAAATGACAAGAAGATAGATAGAAATGACAAGAAGATAGATAGATAGAAATGACAAGAAGAAATTAGATAAATGACAAGAAAATAGAAAGAAATGAGAAGAAATAGAAAAAGAAGATAGATAGAAATGACAAGAAGATAGATGTAACATGACAACAAAAATAGATAGAAATGACAAGAAAAAAGATTATTGACAAGAAAATAGATCAAAAATGAGAGAAATAAAAAGAAAATGACAGTATATAATTTGATAGAATGTAAGGATAAATAATGTAATTTATAATGCAAAATTCACATGAACAAAACAAAGTTAATTTTCCTTAAATTTGAGAAACGGTGAAAATCAAGGCAATTCGCATACGTAGATGTAACATGGCGCATCATTGCTGTAAATGATTGAGATCGCGGACATTATTCCACACTGAAAATTTCAGATCAAAATTCAGCTAATAAAAAAGAAAACACGTGTATATAATTTGATATGCACTAAGGCAATAATGTAACAAGCGAATTAAAGAAAATTTAAGAGAGACAAATTAAATTCATATTCTGACTATTTTATTTCCTGTGTTCACTAGCATTTACTAGCATTTATTTGTTTCGTTTGTATTTTCACAACATAACTTTCCTCCATAATTGCGGAACTGAAACTATTGAGTCTAACGAGGATGTCTAGCATATCTCCTATGTAATGTAATGTAAATTGCGCAGAAACTCGTATTCGAGGATGCTAGTCTACTAGGGAGACAAGCTAATCCCCATTGCTGACGCCTGCTCAGGTACATCTGTGTTTGTTCAACACCCACAGAGCCCAAACCTGGTTTATACTGCAACTATACTGAGCAGACCTTAATTACTTTTTTTTTTTTCTGGGAGAGAGAGTTTGTTATCGAGCTTGACCAACATTCTGAACAAGGCCGGCACGTTAAAACCCTCGGTTACGATGACTTGTCATTTCGTGCTAGCCCATCCACCGAAGGTTCCGTCTCATATTTATTATGTTTTTGTCTGTATATACGTATGCATTAGGGCAACTCGAGGCAGTGTAATGATTAGCAAGCTTGTCTCGCTAGATCAGTTACGACTGAAAAGTGAGTTCGATCCTCACTGGGTTCCCCATACTTTCAGCCTTGTGCCACTTCTAAGCTACGCTTGGAAAATATATACGTATGCATTACATGTTTATGGGTAATTTGTGTTTGCATACACATATATTAAAGAAAAACAGACCACTTTAAGGTTCCATTATAATAATTTATTTCACCAGAACCCTTTTAAAGTACTTCGGATCATACGGATTACAAAGTTTTTCATAACTTTATATATATATATATATATATATATATATATATATATATATATATATATATATATATATATATATCAAGTGAACATAGAAGTCAACACTTAGAGGCGACAGTGTTTCATGCTGTCTTGACTTCTATGTTCACTTTTATATTTAGACACGCACTATCTGAGCACTTTATCCCATAAATATAGCACATCTTAAAACTATATATTTCTTAAATCTTTTCACTTCAAGCAAGGCAATAATAGCATTATGACGCCAGGTGTTTCTGAGAGAGAAAGATGCATTAGAAAATGAGAAGACTTTAGTGACGATACAAGAACAGGATTAAAAAAGACGATGGTGATTAATATTAACGTATAATTTAATTATTTTAAAATCGTAGGTGGGATTGAAGCAACGTGCCACAAGATATTTACATAGGTGAGAAGCGCGAGAGAAGAAACTATTAGAATAGAACTTACGGTTACATCTAGCTATTTCAACAGTAAAACGATGAGATCTAAGAAAACGTATGTACTTGACCACATACACATTCATTATTATATATGACCATAAAAGTACATATTAAATACTCCAACTTCCTGAAATTGCGTATTTATTTATTATAAAACAGCATCTATCTTAAGGAATTGTTCCGCCATATAAAAGACATACCTTCTGTTAAGTTCCTATTGATTTCAAGCTACATATATAAATTTCCTCTAATTTGGTTGTACTTGATCATATATACCAGTTGATAACTAAACCTCTTCATGCCTATTTCTATAAATACGTGAATGTCTGCGTGGCACTCTTAATTAAACCAACCCCAGCATACATATATTTTATGAAATCGGTATCACCCCCCAAGCAAGGTGGTTTCAGCCACAAGAACACAAAGTGTTACAGGGTGTGAAGTAAATACGAACAGAAATATTAGTAATGAGAAACAAGAGAAAAAAACAATCAGGTTGACAGTAGATAGCGATTGACATTGCATTCAGATTTTTCCATATTAAAGTTGGCTGGGAAGCATGAAGCCGGGAGGGAGTTGCACAAGCGAGAAATGCGGGATTATAAACTGTTAGTGTAGAAGATATGTCTACATCTTTCTATCTCAACTGCAAATTGATATGATCTCACTGCCAATCTAGTCGTGCGCTTAAATTCATACAGCCTACGTATATATGACACCTCCGAACAATTACCACGAAAGTAATTGGTTACAAATTCAAAACTTTTTTTCTGATATAAATATTTATGTTTGATTAACAAATAGGAATAGAAACCTACTTTCTAGAATAGACACATGGCTGTGCTTTCAATTTCATAAAACATCGAAGTCTGTAAGTAATATATCCTTTGGAAATTTTCACCGGATCTAAACTTGGTTAAGTCTACATAAAACAGAAATCGATATCCAGTTTAATATATTGATGTGTTATTTTAGTATCAGGAATTTAACCTTATGTGACAATGACTAAACATTACTATTTTTTTCCAAACTTTTATATATTAATTGGATTCCTATTGAAGTAATACAAAGATTCATTAACGATTCATTTATCGATCAGCTATAGAAATATCGAGGAATGTATTGGTTACAAGCACTAGTCCAGAGTCAGTAACTTGAATTGAAATTTCGGCTGGGATAGCTGGGTTTTAATGCCAACTAAAAAGGGCATGACCTCGAATGCACTTACCTCTGAGTAGTCTATGTAGAAAATAATATGTTTTTATCATAACTTAAAATAAAAGGAAAATATATAACTTGAAACTTCAATTGTTAGATACATGAAAGGGCAAAGATAAAAACATGGAAAAAAGCTAGATGCAGATACTGTGCTAGCCTGCCTAGTAAAAAAAAACAAAAAAAAAATGGAGACTACATGATTCAACGTTGATAGAGGCCAAGAAAATAATTGCTGCATCCACAAAAGCTATATACAAACGCTTGAAACTTAATAGAAAATGACACATTAACATGAGTTACCTGGATATAAACGATCGAATAAAAGTAATGAAATGCTTGGTAAATCAAGACAAAGGGTATAAAAATGTATTAAATGGCAGAGAAGTATTAGTCAAGTAATACACAGTTTGACTCAAAGTGGAACACTTTTTGAGAAATCTCGATGAATGAATGATAAGACAAAAAATGGGTGATAAAATAGTGACAGCAAAAAATAAATAAAGTAAGAAAAGGCTCAGAATATATGATGACAGATAAAAGAGAATAAATGCAAACAAGAAAAAGCGAATAATTTAGAAAAGGGAGTTATTTTTAAATTGACTGCAAATTTGAATGCACGCTCGTTTTGTATAATGGCAATGTTCAATTCCTCGAAGAATTCGATTTTTCTTCCTGAAAATCGTTCTCCGTTTACGACTAGTTTTTCAACAGGCTAGAAAATGTAATTCACTTTTTTTATGAAATATGCGATCGTTTTGGTAAATATTCCACTCGATTTTCTTTTTTGAATATATGTATATAAAGTGGAAAAAAGGACAGAATATATGGTCGTTAAATACCGAAGCAGCTCAATATGCAAACAACTCTTGAGACGTCATCAGCAAGCTAGTACAGAAATTGAATTATCAAGGAATTTTTAAAGCAGACGAAAAATATAACACGAAAATCTTCTTTGCAAAAGATAAACAAAATATCAAGAAAACGGAAATTTGCATTGGAAACAAAGGAATGGGTGCCGAACTTCTATATATTTATTATGAATCCACCAATATGGCGGTATATGCTGTATATTTTCTTCGCAGAGGAAGAGGAGAATTGAATCAGTGGAGATGCTCTTCTAGAGGAAAATGATGAATATGTGAACAAAAAATAGGATTTAAGAATAAAGGAAGTGTAAATTTCTGGGATACAGTATGAGGAAAAGGAGCTTGTAAAATTTTATACACACAAGGTATAATGAATGTAAAAGAAGCAAAGTGAGACATCGAGTAATTTAACAAAAATATTTATGTAAGTGGATTGAAGAACATAGACCGGAATTCGTGTTAAGGGAACCCATATTGCTCAGTATTAAAACGGATAGGAAGCTGTGGAGAACTGTGATCACAAAAGTCATGAAAGCAAATGGAACATAAAAGAAAATTCTTTTAATCATGAACCATTCCCCGGCAAAAATCTGAGCCTCAAGCAGGTCCGCTGTTTGTGTAAATGTTTAGGAAATCATATCCTTTTTAATTCTCGAAACATTAAAAAGCAGTTTTAAAAAATGAAAATAAAATAGTACTATTAGTATAATTTGTAAGTATTATAAAGAACTAAACCTATTTCCTAGACATGTCTTAATCGATATTTAAAAACAAAAACATTAGTCACCATTAGTTGTTCCTAAAAAAACAATGACTACATTATTTATTATGATGACCGTTGACATCAGAGGTGGGTGTTTTTATCTAACAGTATTTTTTCTCACACCTCCCACCTGTAAGAAAATTCCCAATTTATGGCTTCCTTGTAACCCTTTCTGTTCTAATGTCATTGTCGCCTTGCCTGGGGGTGAAAGATTACAAAAATATCTACGACCAATGAACTACCATTTATTTTCTTTTTTTGGCACACAGACATCTTATTTGAAAGTGCGTGTGATTCCTAAGTGTGTCATTGAATTCCTTCACACGTAAAGAATTAAATCAATTCTGATTCATCGACACTTGCTCAGGGTTTACGGTGGCCAAACGGAGAATGAGGACGTGTGCGTCAAGTCACATTCCTGTCGAATATACACAGCTATAAATCTAGAAATCGAAGACTGTCTCAAATTACATCGCCAATGGCGGTGTCTATGTGGAAGAAAAATAAGACTTTCTAAAACTGAAAGTTTGCGCTATTA